AATGCAGGATTCATCACCACAACCCTGGGATCAAGACTGAGCTGAAATCAGGAGTTTAACACTCAACCGACTGAGCCACCCAGGCGCCCCGGAGGTGCTAAGTCTCTTTAATGAGGGCAGTGACTCAGGACCATATTGTCTGTAGATTAATCTGTTATTACTTTCAGATTTGCATGGTGTGTTTATTACTTGAAATGATCCAAAGATTCCCGTGAAGACAACAAACCATTATGGTCAGTCCCCATTCCTTCCCAGCTGTTCATAGCCATGCGAGGTTTTCCAAGGCCATGCCTCAGTGGCTCGTGGCCTTCCTTGGCGTGACCATCCCCCTTCAGCTTACGTTAAAGGCAGCTGTTGCTTTTCACTGCTGTGATCATTCTCCCTAAGTGGCTTGTCCTGCTGAGCTGCTTCTCTGGGATCCTGAACCCCCCAAAACAAGGAGGGTTATGCATTGGGACCTTGCATTTGCAGACTTCTTCATGGCTGTCGATTGCACTACAACCCTGGCCAGCTGCCTTGTAAATGCAAGTGACTGGTCACAAGGGAAATCAGATGAGGGCTAGATGGATCAGGTGAACCTATCATCCCTGCTACAAAAACATGTGTTCAGCCGATAGCCGATCAGTATTATCTTCTCCAGGAGTAAAGGAGAGTCTATTTATATGCTCATTATATATGCAGAGTTGTGATCAAACTGCTAGAGGTGACAAGTCCAGGTGTTGCTTTTATAAAGATGTCACTATTGCTATTAACTATTAACTCAGAATTTGTTCTGGATTTTATTGCTTGAATACTGTCATTTCTTCTGCACAATGTAAGCTATGATCGTGGAGGCCTGAATTTCTTTTCTTTCTTTCAATACAGCAAAATCCAGCTGCTATCAATTGCTTCCTCACTTATACTAAACAGTTTTCATAATTGAACCCACTATGCAGGTAGCCTAGACAGGTCATGTTATAAGCTTTTTTTTTTTTTTTAAAATCCAAGTTAGTTAACATGTAGTGTAATAATGGTTTCGGGAATAGAATTTAGTAATTCATCACTTACATATAACACCCAGTGCTCATCCCAGCAAGTGCCCTCCTTAATGTCCATCACCCATTTAGCCCATCTGCCCACCCTACACCCCTCCAGCAACCCCTCAGTTTGTTCTCTGTATTTAAGGGTCTCTTATGGTCTGTCTCCCTCTCTGTTTTTATCTTGTTTTTGCTTCCCTTCCCCTATGTTCATCTGTTTTGTTTCTGAAATTCCACATATGAGTGAAATACAATATTTGTCTTTCTCTGAGTGACTTATTTCACTTAGCATAATACACTGTAGTTCCATCCATGTTGTTGCAAATGGCAAGATTTCATTCTTTTTGATCACCAAGAAATGTTCCTTTATATATACACTATCTCTTCTTTATCCATGCATAAGTTGATAGACATTTGGGCTCTTTCCATACTTTGGCTATTGTCAATTGTGCTGCTATAAACATCGGGGTGCATGTGCCCCTTTAAATCAGCATTTTTGTAGCCTTTGGATAAATACCTAGGAGTGCAATTGCTGGGCTGTAGGGTAATTCTACTTTCAGTTCTTTTGAGGAACCTCCATACTGTTTTCCAGAGTGGCGGCACCAGTTTGCATTCCCACCAGCAGTGCAGGAGGGTTCCTCTTTTGCTGCAGCCTCACTAACATCTGTTGTTGCCTGAATTGTTAATTTTAGCCATTCTGACAGGTGTGAGGTGGTATCTCATTGTAGTTTTGATTTGTATTTCTTGGATGATGAGTGATGTTGAGCATCTTTTCATGTGTCTGTTAGCCGCCTGGATGTCTTCTTTGGAAAAGTGTCTATTCATGTCTTTTGCCCATTTCTTCACTGAATTATGTGTTTTTTGGTTGTTGAGTCTGATAAGTTCTTTATAGATTTTGGATACTAACCCTTTATCTGATATGTCATTTGTAAATATCTTTTCCCATTCCATCGGTTGCCTTTTAATTTTACTGATTGTTTCCTTCCCTGTGCAGAAGCTTTTTGTCTTGATGAGGCCCCAATAGTTCATTTTTGCCTCTGTTTTTGCACAAGTGTAATATTTACCGAGTATACTGTGGAATCAAGTGGAATATGCAAATATCCACTGTGTGGCAACATATTCTTTTAATAGCTGGCACTAGAGTTCCTCTTGGGGAAAATATTTTGTGTAGGAAAACACTTTGATAAACAGTTTAGGAATGGAAAGTCGTCCTGAAGAAAGAGAGAACTAAAAGTACTGTATAAAGAGAGAAAAGAGAAAGGAAGAGGGATGGGAACAGGAAGATGCTGATTAGTGGGGAGTTGTAATTTATGCTGAGAAAGGATGGGGGTTGGTAGATTCCAATGCATTGTGATACTTGAAGGCCTTTCAAGACCATGGAATTCTAACTTGAGGCTGTTTGCATCCTTCATTTAAAACACCCTAGTTGCTCCAAACCTTCTGAGGAGTCTGCTATATATACAAACAACCAAAGAAAACGGTTTGATTTACACACTGTGTCAGTAGGAAAGAAAAAGAGTTGCAGAAGGTGAGATGTGAAAGAGTCCATGTGTTCAGAGAAAGCAAGAACTCAAAGCCAGAAGTGACCCTGTGATGCTAAGCTACCCACTTCCCCCCCCCCCCCCCACCCATCCTGGTGAGAAAATACTGGCCTTTCTACAGGAGGTGGAAAAGGGACTTGAGTCAATTTCAACAAAATTTCTGTGGACAAGGTGACCTTGACTGAGAACTGGGTGACATACACAGTAACTTGCTATTTACAATCATACTTTCTCAAGAGATGTTTATTGGTAGAAAACAACAGATCAGTAATTTCCCCCATTTACTTAAATCTCTAAGTCTCATTTTCCTTATCTGCAAAATCTGGAGATTAGATGGAGAATATCTGTGGTCTCTATTAGAGTCTATAGCTCTAATAAATATCTTATAGAGGCAGAGAACAAATTGGTGGTTGCCAGAGGTGGGGGGGGGTGCAGCAAAATGGGTGAAGGGGGTCAAAGAGTACAAATTTTGTTATAAAGTAAATAATTCCTGGGGATGTAACATACAACATGACTATAGTGAATGGCACTGTGTTGTATATTTGAAAGTTGTGAAAGCAGATTTTAAAAATATATTTTTAGGGGCGCCTGGGTGGCTTAGTCTGTTAAGCGTCCAACTTTCGCTTGGGTCATGATTTCGCGGTGCGTGGGTTCGAGCCCCGCGTCGGGCTCTGTGCTGACTGCCAGCTCAGAGCCTGGAGCCTGTTTCAGTCTGTGACTCCCTCTCTCTCTGACCCTCCCCTGCTCACACTGTCTCTCTCTCTCCTAGAAATAAATAAAACGTTAAAAAAAATCTTAAAAAAAAATAAAAATATATTTTTACATTCTTTTTTTGAGGTACATTCACACACAGTGAAATGTACACAGTTTACCTGTACCATTCCATGAGTTGTGACAAATGTGTAGACCTCTGTAACCCAAACTGTAAGCAAGATATGCATTTTCTCCATCCCTACAGAAAATTCCCTCTTCAGTGACTCTTGATTTTGGCTCAGGTCATGAGATGGGGCCCCACAGCTGGCTCTGTGCTGAGCGTCTGCTCAAGATTCTCTCTGTCCCCATGCACCCCAATGTTTATAGCATCACTATCCACAATAAAGTATGGAAAGAGCCCAAATGTCCGTCAGTGGGTGAATGGATAAAAAAGATGTGGTATATGTATACATATGTGTGTGTATATATGTGTGTATATATATATATCTAATGGAGTATTACTTAGCAATCAAAAAGAATGAAATCTTACCATTTGCAACTATGTGGATGGAACTAGAGGGTATTATGCTAATCAAAATTAGTCAAAGACAAATATATGACTTCACTCATATGAGGACTTTAAGAAACAAAACAGATGAACCTAAGGGAAGAGAAGCAAAAATAATATAAAAACAAGGATGGGGACAAAAACATAAGAGACTCTTAAATATGGAGAATAAACAGGGTTACAGGAGAGATTGTGGGAGGGGGGATGGGTTAAATGGGTAAGAGGCATTAAGGAATCTACTCTTGAAATCATTGTTGCACTATATGCTAACTAACTTGGATGTAAATTAAAAAAAAATTCTCTCTGTCCCTTTCTGTCTCTGCCCCACCCCGCCTCCTCTCTCCCTTAAAAAAAAAAAAAAAAGAAAGAAAGAAAAAAAGAAAATTCCCACCCTCACCTCCAGGCTACTACTCATCTGATTCTTATCATGAAGGATTAAATAATTAAGATTTAAAAGTTGTTAAATGCCAGTCTTTGTTTGATAGTGCTTCATCATGCTTTTTATTTCTCACAAGCACTGTGAGCTGGATAGTATCTGCATTTCGCTTATCAAAACTTACAGCATCACAGGGGAAAATAAATTGCCCCGCGTCACTATAGGGGCAGGACGTGAACCACGAAGCGGGTTTTAGAAGCCCTTGCGCTGAACCTGTTTCTACTGCACTGCATCTCTGAGGTGGGTCACGGAGAGTCCACAAACGATTGCCTAAGAAATATGACACATCAGAAATTCAGCTCCAATCAGTGCCGCCTACAAGTCCTCAAACCTCCTGAATAATCCTAAAGGCTGTAGGCATTACATTTTACTAACGGATGCATTTCTATCCCACTCCTCCGAAAGTGGCAGAAAGGTGTTAAAGACGGCAAATTCCACTTTCCTGCTGAAAAGCCCCGGAAGGGCGGCTTCGGTTCCCACCCCGCCGCCCAGCGGAGGCAGCCGGCGATGCCCGCAGGGGCGGCGGGGGCGGGGCCGGACCAGACGACCTTTCGAGAGCCGGGCGCGGAGCCGCCGGGGCGCTCCTTCCTCTGACGCCACAGGCATCCTCTCAGAACAGAGCGGCACCAACCCGCTCCGTCGACGGCACAGGACCCGCGTCAGGCCAAGGGGATTGGCCGCTACCGCAGCAGGGCTCATCCTGCCGTACTGGGTCAATTAGTCACTTTGCCCTCCTCAATGTCACCGTCTCCCTCCTCTCCCCGAAGCACCCGGGCGCCTCCCTTCCCCCGCACCCGGGTGGGGTTCCCAGGCTCCTCCCCCGAGTTGTCTCGGAGTCCCTGCGCGCCCCCCACCGCTCGGTCCGCGGCTGCTATGGCAACCGTACGCCGCCGCCTCTTCACGCACATCGGGAACTAACGGACTCCGCGGCGGCTGCGGCGGCGGCCTGTGCCCCACCCCCACTCGGACCGCATCACCAGCCCCCAGCCGACCTGCGGCACCTAGGTAATAACCCGAGGGAGGCCGGTGCGTGCAGGGGAGCAGGTGGCGGGGTGTTCAGGTTGACAGCCCCACCCGATCTCCCGCTGCCAGGGCAGTGCCGCGGTCCTGGGGCGCCGGGAGGGGAGGAGGAGAGCAGTGGGAGCGCGAGGCTCGCGGGGCACTATGGGAATTGTAGTTTAGCGGCTGCACGGGCTTTCGGCCTTGGCGGGGTGGCCTGGACGGGCGAACTACAAAGCCCGGCGGCCCCGACCGCTGGCAAAGACCGATAAACTTTGAGCGGACCGGGCGAGAAAAAAACCTGTCTTTGTGGTGCGGGGGCTCTTGGGTGGTCGCGGAACTGGGTTCTGCGCTGGGAAAGGAAAGTGGAGGTGAGGCTCGGGCTGGCGGCCGTTTGGCCCGCCCCGGCTGACAGCGCTCAGCCCCACCCCGGCTGGGCTGGGCCACCGCCCCGCGTAGTCCCAGGGATGAGCAGCCACCCCCGCTGCAGGGCCTCGGGCCTGCGGCGCCTCTGACCCTCCCAGGTTGCTGCCTCTCGGGGCCGAACCGTATGTATGGCACACATTTGATGTGAGACCTGAGAAACTATTTTTGTTAAACAGGACTTTATCCTTTTCCTGATAACGTGTATTTCTAGGCTTTTATTCATGTCTCTTCTGAAATAGCTGAGAGATGTTTGCATATTAAGCCCATAATTATTATTGAAAGGGCATTTAAACATTATTGATGTTTAAAGGTCAAGTGTAGAAAGTGTAGAAGTAGAGACCATGCTTTCATATAGGAGTATCTTTTTAAAATAACCATTTTGCCTATTGCATTTTATTTGTTGAGGGTTAAGATTACAAAATGAGTACCCCCATATTCCCACTTACTGGCTTGAACGCTGCCTACCCATATTTTGATTCTATTTTGAACATTAGTTTAAATTACTGGAATTTTAAAAGCACAGACTTTTCTTTCTTTCTTTCTTTCTTTTTTTTTTTAGCTATGGGTAATAATTATTTTCTTTGGCCATATCCGTATTCTTAAGAATTTCTCAGGAGCATGTTTTCAGAATGTAAATTGCCCAACAAAACAAAAGGAAACAACAACTCTGCAATACACCTAGTCCTTAGGGTTGGCTTACGTCCTGTTGGTAAGGAAACTGACACAAATTTAGAAAACCTTTAAAACGTTTTCAACAGGTAGATAACCATCCTAGAAATTTGGTGTTTTATATAGTATGTAGAAAAATTGTTGATAGTGCTGCGGGTTTATTTTGGGTGTGTGTTTTAAACAAGAAAACAACACAAGGCCACTACAAAATTCCTATTTTCCTCAAATAAAATGAGGCTGGCCTGTAAATTTTACTTTAATTACCGATTTTGTGCAAGGAGATGGAAAGTAAATCTAGGAAGACCATTAGAAAAAAATTTGAGACCTTCTGGTGTATACTATAGGGATTGGAAGTGTTTTATTCATTCATTCAAGCTTTGTTAAAGGGCCTATTAAATTGCGGACCGTGTGCCAAATAGTGGGAATAAAAAGAAGACAGTCTGTGTTCTGTATGGGCAAACAGTGAAGTCATCACAATAGGATAATAGAAATAGGTGCAAGTCGGTATAGGAGACCAGAGTGGGAAAAAATCCTAATACAACAGTAATATTTATTGAATACTTAATCTCAGCGAGGCACTGTGCAGTATTTTGTATGTAGTCCGTTATTTAATCCTCATGAAGATCCCTAACTACTGTTATTCAGAGATGAGGAAACAGGCTTAAAGATTTTTGTCCAGAGTCATAGCTGATAGGTTTGAACCTGGGATTTCAACCCAGGTGGTCTCACTTATCTAAGTCATGATCTCAACCACGGATGCTGTTCTCTGTACCCATTGATAGAAATATCCTGACTCTAAGGAGATCGGGGAAGTTTTCAGTGTGATGTGACATTTGACCTGTGTTAAAGAAAGTTGAGTAGGCTTTCACTGGAGAGAAGTTGAGGAAAGTCACCCTAGGCAAATGGTACAACAAAAGCAAAGGATGTAGTAGAGTGTTTTGTTTGGAGAACCCTTGATCATTCTGATGCAGGAATCCCAGAGTGCACGCAGTATAGTGGTGGGAGGGGCCAGATCTTAAAGTACTTGGTACCATGATAAAGAGTTTAGAGGTGTTTTCCATTTTCAACATGGGGCAACCGCTGAAGAATTTCACATGAAGGTGGTGTTATTGGGTTTGTATTTTAGAAAGATAACTCCTGCTGAAGGGTGGAGAATGGACCCAGGAAAGGAGGGGAGATTAGAGTGGTATAGGGACACCAGTTGTAGGGGAAAAAATACACTGGAAAAGTGAAGAGAGTCTGAATGAAGCAGCTGGAGTTATGGAAAGACAGGGCTTGTAGAAGTATTGAAGGGAGAAAATTAGTACGATTTAAATTGCGGGCTAGACAGATTTGGAACCTTAAGACAAATGAGTCCTAGTTTTCTACCTAGGATGTCTAGTAAAAGTATGGATTGTGAGGAGGGGGAGCAGGGTTTTGTTGAGGTGAAAGATAAAGATCAGTTTTGAGTATTCATTCAAAGTTCTTGTGGGGTATTCAGGTAAGGATGCGTTTGGACCTGGAGTTCCGGAGAGAGTTCAGGGCTGGAGGTGGGGGTTTGCATGTGCATAAGCAGTTGAAATTACAGGAGAGTTTGGGTTAGCTCACAGCAGGAATATATAGACATGAAAAAGGAAACGTTTGAGTAAGTTTGAGAAGCAGCAGCATTTGTGTGTGTGTGTGTGTGTGTGTGTGTGTGTGTGAGTGTGTGAGAGAGAGAGAGAGAAAGGGAGAGTGGAGGGGAGGTAGGACCATGTTTGAAAACAAGTGGGAGAAATCCCCCCACAAATGAGACAGAGATTGGGAGGCAGAGAAAAGGAAGATTTAGAGTGAGCATGTGTAACAAATGACAAAGGAGAGGAAAATTAGAAGCAGGAATGGTCCAGAGTATCATGTGTCTTGGAGAGTGCAAGTAAAGTCAAGATTGAAATGTGCCCCGTGGATTTGGTGATGACAAATCACTTCTTTTTTTTTTTTTTTTTAATTTTTTAACGTTTTTATTTATTTCTGAGAGAGACAGCATGAGCAGGGGAGGGTTAGAGAGAGAGAGGGAGACACAGAATCTGAAACAGGCTCTAGGCTCTGAGCTAGCTGTCAGCACAGAGCCCGATGCGGGGCTCGAACCCACAAACTGTGAGATCATGACCTGAGCCTAAGGTGGCTGCCCAACGGACTGAGCCACCCAGGCACCCCGACAAATCACTTCTATACTTTGCAAAAATGAGGAAGAGGAATGTGAGCATAAGCTACTTGAAAAAAACATTTACATGTTCCATACTAATACATATACATAAGAAAATAGAATGATGAGCCCCATATAGTCATCCCCTAGCTTGAAGAATGAGCATATAACCAGTTTTGTTTCATCTATAGCCCCTGCTCCCAACTGGATTATTTTTTAGTTTTTAATTGATTTTTATGTTTTTCGATTGTTTTCAAGTTAAACTCAGGTATCCTATCTTTTGTTATCTGTAATTATTTTCAATATATATATTTTAAGGATTCTTGGGGTGCCTGGCTGGCTCAGCTGGTAGAGAGTGTGACTCTTGACCTCAGGGTAGTGAGTTTGAGCCCTGTGTTGGGTGTAGGGATTCCTTAAATAAACAAACAAAATTTAAGGATTCTTTTTAAAAAAACTGTAATACTATCCTACCTAAAAGAAATGGACAGCACTTCTTTAATATAAAATCCCCAGGTACACTTTTCTTTAAAGAAGTTTGATTCTTGGGGAGCCTGGGTTGGCTCAGTCGGTTAAGCGTCCGACTTCAGCTCAAGTCATGATCTGGTGAGTTCGAGTCTCAAGTCAGGCCCTGTGCTGACAGCTCAGAGCCTGGAGCCTGCTTTGGATTTTGCGTCTCCCTCTCTCTCTGTCCCTCCCGTGCTCATGCTCTGTCTCTCTCTCAAAAATAAATAAAAAAATAAAACCATTTTAAAGAAGTTTGACTCTGAAGAAAAGAAAGGGATAAGGCAGTAACAAAAAGGTTTGTAAGTTTTTTTTTTTCTTTAAAGCTTGATAAACTATTAGGGAGACAGCCAATAAAGAGGAAATGTTTGAAGATGTTGGAGATGAGAGAAAGAGATGGTTGATGGATCTATCTCTGAAAATGCAGGAAATGATGGGATGAGCAGGGTTGGAAGAATTAGTCTAAAATTAGTTTGTTGAATTTTTTAAGTATCAACTAAGTGCTAGCTGTGATCCTAGGCAGTATGCTAGTGTAGACAGGAGGATAGAGGCCCTGAAAAAGGAAGAAAAGAAGTGAGGACAGATAGGGATATTTATAGGTTGGGTGGTAAAACGTTAGAGAGTTCAAAGCTTATGTTCTCTTTAGGTGGATAGGAATCAAGGTCAATTGATGAGAGGGGATGGAGGGTTAGGAAAGGAGAAGGGTGGAGTTTTGGAATAGCCACTGAGCTAGGACAAGTTAATGTTTTCACTGAGATTAGAATTCAGTAATTCTCAATGACAGCAAAACAAGGTTGTGTGATTTTTCCCCCCTTAAATTTTTATTTACTATAGGAGAACTTAAAATATTGAGACCAATAGCCTCATGTGTTACTAAAGGAAAGAGAATCCAGGCTAAGAACTTAGGATTGATTGTTCCTCAGCAACTTGAGATTTATTCATTTAACTAACAGTTATTATCTATTTTGTGTAAATATCACAGTAAAATTAGAAAGCCCTTATGGATCCTTTGGATTAATACTTTGATTTTCTCAGTTTGTACAGTGGTATTCTTTTATGGAGAACATTTCTCCAAGGTTTGTTCACTGAGTGTGATATTGTGGAAGGGGCCAGCTATATCTGTTGTCCAGTTCTGGAACTACAACTTATTTTCTTTGTAATCACAGACACGTTTCCAACCCTGTACCCTTATTTAAAAAAAGATGTTAATGCTATTTTATAGGATTTTGGGGAAGATTAGACAGTTTAA